GCGTCGCCTTGGCAACGGGCAGGCCCGGGCCCGCGCACTCACCGCCAAGGCCGCCCAGGACTCCCGCGGCTCCATGCAGGGGTGGTGATAGCCAGTGGTGACACGGCGCAACACAGACCGGCTCCTCGCACCGCGGGACGGGACTAAACCCCGCACTGTAGCCGTGCCCCGGGCCTGCGCACGGGCGCAGCCATGTTACTGCCCCTGACCCGCGGTCAGGCGGGAGCGTGACGTCACTGCGCCTGTGCGGAGCGCCGCGCATGCGCACAGCGGGCCGCGACGCCGCTGCCTGCAACCCCGCCCTTCCCCCTGCCCTTAGCGGCAGGCGCCGAGCCTCGCACTGAAGCTTTAGCGGTGAAAGAGCTAAAGCACACATTAGTTATCACCAGGCGTTAATTAGTTATTACTTAACGGTGGTTGGCTGCGCGCTAGCAGCCATGCCGCTCCAGAAAAGGGCGCAAAAAAAGGCGTTTTTGCTGCCCCTGCCGCGCAGCTGGGCCCGGGTGGCCCTGAGGTGCTGCAGTGGCCACCGTGGTTTCTTCCACCTGGGGCTAGGATCTGTTTAGAAAGCAAACCTGCGTTCACAGGAGACAAAAAAGGGCATTTTTGAGGGGCAAACACTTCTGAAGTCGCTTTGGGTTTTTCTTCAAATCGTGCCTGTAAGCGCAAACGCGGGCCTGCTGACGCCGTTCTGCGCAGGCTTTCTGTGGGCCGTTCTGAGAACAGCAGGCCAAAGCAATGTGCAGGGAAAATAATAAAGTCTCTTGACAGGGTCATTTCTTCTGCCTGTTCCCAGAAGGTGTATTGGCTCTCCCTGGAAGGGAAAATGCAATTTTTGACTCTCATCCCATCAGAAATACTTATGTATTCTGTGTTTGTGTCTTCTGGAGGCCTCTCCCCTTCACCAAGGGCATTCAAATCAGCAGTGGTTTCAAAAGTTGCAAAGAAGATTTTGGCACAGAGTCCTCATATAATCCTCACCCAGCAAGAAACCACACTTGAAATTATGGGAAAAACAGTTCTGAGGGAGGGAGAAGGGGTAAATGTTGGAGACGGCTATAGTTCATGCAGAAAACCAAAAAATCAGCAGGCTTCAATTCAAGATTTCCTTGGCTGCAAGCACATCACTTGGGATGACTTTTGGACGTAGCAGCTGAGAATGTGACGATGCCTCACATTCTCAGCATCAGTAACCGCCTTCAGGCAGCTCAGCTCCTCTTCATCAAACCACTAAGGGTGTCTGCAGGTGGGAAACACCTCGCTGTCCTGTCCTGTAACATCCACATGCAGCAACACAGTGGAGTTGCCAGCTCCAGCAAATTTCTTACAGCTCTCCTGCAATGCTGTGATTTTTTTATTCTGAGCTGCTTCAGTCCCTAGAGACAGACGATGTTAGAGTAGTGTTCATTGCATTTAGCCTTCATTTTCATTTGAGTGAAAAGCTCAAAACTCTGCAGACAAAACCAGAAAGAACCTGAACGTATTTTTCAACCTTCTTTGATTTTTAAGGCAGGTCCTTGGTTTTCTGGTCCTGACAGTATTTTTATGATAATCTGGTGGGTTATCAATAATTTGGTTTAGTTTAGGCTTTGTCATGTTTATTGAGGATTACTTCTTTGTTTCATATCAGGACATGATCAAAAAGTGGACTTCTTTGACATTACTAGCACACTTGTCCCCAGCATGGCGGGCTGACCACCTTTCCTCCAAAGCCTGTGATGTGCGTGAAGCCTAAGTCAGGCCAGTTTGCTATCCTAGGAATTAATTCCTGAAAACTTTGATTCTGATTCCTGGAAGAAGCAGGAGTCACAATTACATATTTCAGCTGTAATGTATCAAAGACTGGACTGTGAGTAGTTATTATAGTCACACCCAGCAGAGTACCTGGCTTTCTGAAAGAACCCTGCTATTTAGACAGAAATAAAAATTACGTGAAATCTACCATTTCCAGCTGGTGTTCTGGTAAATGACTAAATAAACACAAAAGCTGAAAGTTCCTCAGTTTCCAAGTCCACGTCTGTCATTAAATTAGGTACTTTGGAGCGATATTGAGGGAAAAATTGGACATCTGCAGTAAATGAAGCATGCTTTTAGAGTTACTGCCCCATACAAACCCACTGATGGCAGCACTTAAAACGAGACCTTATTCCCCACGTGTGCCCAGGAGGTCTCTTGATGTAAAGGTTCTTGGGGTCACAGCAAGAATTTTTCACATTGTTCAGTGCAAAGCTTTCAGATACACTCTGTGGCAGTGACTCTTTTTATTTATCACCTTCTGTCAGAAGAACTGCTGCTGCATTGGAGAGGTCACAACCTCCTATTCTTCCAAGCCACTGTCTGTCTTAAATGAACAAGTTCTGCTTAATGCCGCAGGCCAAACATTAATCTTTGTGCTAAGTCCTTCACAATGGACTCCCCCCGAGCTTGCAGAGTAAATTGAGTGAAGGAAGAAATCTGTTTTCTTCCGTTGTTTCTTCCTTGCGGGAAAACGCTGCAGGTGCTCCCCAGCATCTCCACTGCGAGTGAAGAAGATGGGCTGAGCAGAAAAACCTAGCCCAGGCAAAGGAAGTGCACTGCACCTGACTGATGGATCTTTGTGATCCCATACCTTTGTTCAACCCTGTTTTCAGCTCGTTCGTTGTCCTGTACCTTCTCCCAAGCCTGTTTCAGCTGCGGCTGACGCTCAGAGGCTGGGGGAGTAAGCTGGGGAGACCAAGGAACAGCCACGTGGTGCTTCTCCCAGACACTGGGGATTCAATGCCCTGTAGCAGAGGAGAGACTAGACACTTGTGTACGTGCTGCTGCCACTGCTGTCTCTGCCAGCACTGGAGCAGCTTGGTGGCTGCCAGGTTTTTTGCTCAGCCCTTCCGTTCATCTCCTTTTTCATTCCCTGCTCCTCTTTCTCTGCCCTTCCCTGCCCACAACTGCAGGCTGGTAAGAGTGCTAATGACCATTATGCCTACAGCACCTCACCTGCTTCCCTCAGCCTTTGCAGCACATAAAAGCCTTGGCAAGAGATGAAAAGCCTTTTAATTACTGTATGATAAAGAACATATTGCATCTATGGATGAACTGAGTGGGATATGAGCTGCCAACAACATAGCAATCCTCTAGCTTATACTCTGCAAAAAAGAGACATCCTAGAGAACGAGTATTGGCCACTGATGGGTCCTCTTTGTCAGGGCTACTTAAGCACCATTTTGAATCAATTTCACGTTATTAATCCTTCCGCTGGCACAACAGTGCACATGTACAAAAATGCCTGTATGTGTATATCTGCGTATATGTACGCTTGTTTGTGTGTATGTCCTCCCCCAGCTGCTGTAGGATGTCTGACACCAGCCGCAGAAGATATATTGATCTGGTCATAACATATTAAAGCTGCTGCAGAGCAGATGTTAAAAACAGATTTCTTGGCATATATCAGCCCCTGGCGGTATCCATCGCGCACATGTTCCAGTTTATTTATTAAAACAATTGCTCTCCTCATTCTGTTTATTATCATTCTCCTGAGCAATTCAGGCACGTTGGAGCCAACCCTTTCCAGTCAGTCGGCCCTTCTTGGATCGTCCTTTTTGCTTCAGCTCGGACAACACCCTGCAACTCTTCCTTCCTGAGGAACCAGGCCTGTCCCACTGTTCTTAAAAGCAGATGGAAATTTATCAGCTGCAAAAATTTACCCTGACATAAGTACGCTGAAAATAAGGACTTGAGGATCCTTTTAATTTGAGCAGGTAAATAATGGGGCCAGGGAGGCCATTGGAAAGGGGAACGTTAGTGATATGGCCACATACAGCACCCAAGAGGCTGTGACGTACCACAGGCAGAGAGGGCCTGATTAATTTAAAGACTAGGAACTCAATGTAACTCTTTGGCCACTGAAATCTTGTTTGTCCCATTTTGTCCCAAACAGCTGCAGAACTGTGAAATTAGTGCGGAGCAAAGGGCCTTCCCTGAGATCACATCAGTGCATAGGAGAGCAGTGTGGCTCCATGCCCCGGAAAGGTGTGACACTGGTCCTTCTCCAGGAGACAGCGTTGTCACCAGCTGCCTTAAACACCCGACGTGCACACGCTAAGGTGAGGCCTCCTGCCATATTTTTGCAGAAGCACAGGCTTATATTTTGCAGTTTATTTCTGCCAGGGATGGGGCAGCAATGCTCTTGGCCACAGCTTCAGTGTAGTAAAATCTGAGAGGCCTCCTCACACGAAGTGGCCAGGGGCTAGTGCGCAAGGAAGCAGAGTCCCGTGGCTGGTCCATACCCCCAGGACTGGTGACTCCAGCAGCCACCCCATCGCCTGGTGCCCCGTAGCCCCTCTGCATGCTCAGGAGCTGGGCTGCAGACCTCTACCCACTTCTCTGGCTGTTGCATGTGCTTCTGGAGCTGCTTCTCTTAGAAAATGAAAATTAATTCAGTATTACCCTAATATCTAGCCGGCAGCGGACAGCTGGACCTGGTCGGGCAGCAGTTTTTCCAGCCTCTTCTCATTTTGTCAGTCTCCCTTTTGCTGCCTTAACCCTTCTGCAAACGACAGGGAAGACTGGTTTAATGTGGATTTTAGGTCATTTTTTTGCCACTTGGACACCATAAGCTCCCCCTCATGCTTACAGTAGCATTCTCTGTTCTTAAGAAATCTGGCAGGTTGTAGAAATTTTGCTGAAATACTAATTGCAGTAAATTTTTGTGGAAACAGATGGGGGAACCAGACAGCCAGAAATTTAATAACTCCTTTGAGTACTTAGCAGCAGAAACACCAGTCCCCACATTCATTAAGAAAAAAAGTGATTAATGAAGATATAGATTTTACATAATGATAGAAAGCCTTAAACTGTACAACTTTCTGATGATCCTCATTTATTCTGTCTTATTGGCTGCCTGGACAATTGAAGATGAATGGACTGGGAAGGACAGAAAATGTGCATTTTAACTACTGGATAAAGTAAGTGAAATAATGATCCAGTGGCAATGTAGTGACCTTTTCCATGTGAACACGTCTTCCAGAGACTCTCTGCAGTTAGTCTTACAGCACAGCTGAGTTAATCTAATATTTCCATTTAGCACATAAGAGAAATGGAGGAAAATCTTAATTATCCCTGCATTTGTGGTTATAGTCCAGACCCCTGACACTGGAATCACTCACATCTGTTCTCAGCTCATTTTGTGGGCTGATGCAATGACTTAGTTGACTCAGGAAGCAGAGTTAAGAAAAAGTTTG